ATGACTTCAGCATGTACCGAATTGATCATTTCCGACTGCCGTTATCATTGCTGTTATCATTTTCAAACACCTATACCCGCGCCCTAAGGTAAGTAAGATAAGATGTAATGTAAGTAAGTAAGTAACTACATACAAATAGGCCAAAAAGTGGAAAAACTTGAGGAGATCTTTGAGATCTCAATTGCTGCGGTGAGTGTGGATCGAACACACGACCTTCAGATAAGACTGATGAAGTGTCACTTCAGTCTGACGCTCTCCCAACTGAGCTATCCCCGCTTGCTTGTTGAAAAAGCATGATCTAATTGGATTCTTATCGGCGATAGCTTTTGTGGAGCATTCTAACCAATTGTGTCGTGCGGTGGCCCCCCACCAACGGCGCCGGTCGACCCAAGTCATATCCCCATTCTGTACAAGAGGCGTGCTGCTTTCAAGGCAGCCCGACTTCTTTCTTGACAGAAAGATGCTACTTCAGCGACAATTTTGTCTTTTCTTTTTTTTTTTTTGGCTATGATCGGCACTTGCGCGCACGAAGATAATTCTCGTGGCCGGGGTTGCTGCCCGACTGCCTAACCTAATGAAGTTCCAAACTCAAGGATCTCTTGACCACCTCTTCTCTGATGTCTTAGGCACCTCACCCTACAGCCCCGATTGCTCCCCGGTTTCGGCCTCTTGTATGTGAAGCACAGGTTACTGGCATTATACCGGTTATGAGGTAGCAATTCTGTTATTAAATAACGGTTATATTCGAGCGAAGAACTGGCGAGACTCGAATTTCCGGCGTGTCCCAACCTAAAAATAACGTTAAGTCGGATCAATAAAGAATACATTTGTACATTTGCTCCCCATGGGAATCCCTCCCTGTTCAATTTTACCCTTAATCAAACAGTACCGTTGCTGGGCCTCCAAACGAAGAAAAAAAAAACCAAAAAAACCTGATAATTGAAAGAAGGACAGTTAATATCCATACTAACTTCCCATCATCAAATAAAATTCTGCTTCGCCAGCGAAGCCAATGTCACAGGATCCATGCTGATACAAACATCATTCCCACCCTCATCCGTGCAGACTTCATAATAATCGCAATTTTTCAACCGACAAACGTAGAACAGCCGTCCCGGCCTCGGCTTGTTCACACCCGTGACTTGGCGTTTACTTGAATTGCCGCAGAAACACGCCGGGTTCGTCGGGTCGTTGCCCCTCGCGTCGCAGAAGAACAGGAACCTCTGGCAATCGGCACACTTGAAGTACGGCCGGCCCGCGTTCCCGTTTGGATTGTCAGGTTGGACGTAGAAGAGGATGCCGTCTGCGCCGCAACGGCATTGAGGCCCCGCCATTTGTTGCGGTACCTGTTGTTGGTGTGCGTTGACCATGTGCCAGGCGTATTCGTCCTCCTCTTTGCACTCGTGTTTAGCGGGCTGTAGTGATAATGATGCCACTGTCACCTCCGTAGTTTCTTGCTTAACGGTAGCAGGCGAGCTAGAAGCAGAAGTCTACTCCAGCCTGTGTGAATGCTAATACATGACAGATATGTAGGTGATATGGAATAATATGCACCTTTGTGCTACGAGGCATCCCGTTCTTGAAGCTTGTGTGTCTCTGGGAGTTTCTCCAGATGAAATTGATGCCCAACAAGACTGGGTGTCATCAGATGAGTTTTCGTATGGCCCAGGACAATGGCAATTAGGTTTGAGAGCTCGATAGGACTTTACTCCTCTATCCTGAGGTGGGGAAGCGTACTTGAGTTTCTGTTAGGAATGCATGGAGGACCGGCTGCATCCATACGTACCTACTTTGCTTGTTGTGACTAGGTGAGAGTGTTACCTCGATTTAAACGTCTCCTTTGCTTGCCTACATCATACGCGTAGGAGTCGAAAACTAGGCCGTTTGACCGTCAATAGGTGACAGGTACATGTAGCTGTCGTGACCTCGATATTGGGCCGGCCACAGCTGTTGTTGTGGCTCGGATTCAGTGGCTACACACCCGTATTTACTACGTGAAGTCGTACCCGGTACACTCACAGAAGTCCTTAGGCATGCTTCTGCCCACATCCTAGATACCTAAGGTAGCTCAGCTCCTCTTATTAAGAATGCAACCTTCATACACACTTCAGATCTGCTAAGTAGTCTCCAACTGTGAGACTTGTAGGCAGTAGAAGACCGTACAAGGAACATATTGTTGACTTGTTATGTATGCCCTTTTCATATTAATACGCAGAATACCAAGCCATCTGGCAATGACGACCCTGCTTCCAAGAGAGTGAAGCAGTTGCGGGTTGTGCCACGTGTGATCTTCCTATCCCGGGCCTCCGGGAGATCTCGGGTACTTACGACGCTGGGAAAGCAAGAAATTGGTCAGGGCCGCAAGTTTATCTTAACTTGTTCGCATGTGGGCGGTGCCAACTTCGATCCTGTGCCCCTCACAGGCATCAAAACGAGCAAAGTTTTGGATTTGCTTACGAACTTTACTTAGAAGCTGACTTCCGGAGGTAGGTATCGAGTTTCGGGGTATTTTGCTTCCCTTTTTCTCATGTGAAAAGCTAGGTAGATTGGTATGCGTTGAGATATGCCACTGTACAGTGCCCTTCGACTATATTACACCAATAAACTCCGACAGTTTGCTGGTTTTGTATCGACACAGCAGGGCTCTCCGCGTTTCATGAAGGGCCATCCTCAGTACTGGCAATTTTCAGCAATTTCCAGCAATTTCAGCGGATAAGTTAAGTCATCATATTCACAAAGCACTCCCAGGCGTCACAAAACTCATCGCTTATGCGATCTGGAACGTCGTCTCCCTCCAACCATAAGCCCTGGTCAGACGTCGAGCAATAATGAGCAGCCTGTGACCCTCTATACACGACTGATGTGGCCGATGCAAGGTGAACGGTCTTTTAATGATCATGCTCTCCGGGGGGAAGAAAGTATAAGCAGAGCCAAATCTCGGCATGACGGAGAAGCCCAGATCTGCTAGGGCTGCCTCAAAGTTGACCCATGCGATAGAGCCACGAGACTTTGACCTGTCAAATAGAGTCGAGAAAACCTCAGCCGTAGCGGATTTGACCTTAACAGGCTCAGGCTCAGGAGCTGGCGGTGGCGGCTGCGCCTGTACAACTGTATCTGTCTTTATATTCGCCACGGGAGAAATCTCGTAGACAGATGAGTGAGTTGGACGGGTCTTCTCCTTCTGTCGCCTCTCCTGCACACGAACCTCTCGGGCCTTGGGAGGTTCCTGGGGGAATGGAACATATTCGCTCTTGTCTTCTCTCTTCTCAAGCCGCTCTTTCTCGTCCTGGGCAGCCAAGTCCGCTTCTAATTTCGCGATGCAGTCATTGATCAGATCTGAATAGAGAAAACCTATTTTTGAGCCTGTTTTTTCAACTATGAATTGGTCAAATTCCTTCAATGCCGCCTCGGCCATCCCTGGCTCTAGCAAGTTGTCGATAGGGGCGGCGAAGTCTGCAAGGTCTAGCTCCGGCTTGATGTTGTTCAGTTCGGCCTCCAGGTCTGCGACTCCAGTCACAAACCGTTGCCCCCTTTTGCGGCTGAAGGCCGGCATAGAAATTGCTGGTAAGAGCGACTGGATGAAAGCCACGATGACGGCTAAGTCGCCAAGAGCTTCAAATTCCCCTCCGCGAAGGTCGTCTCTCTTCCCAGGATGACTGCTATGGAACTCTTCGAGTTTCGTTAACCATTCAACAGCCTTTAGGGCGGTAACATCAACCTGGCATAAATGCAACAGACAGAGAAGTTGTTGATCATGGCCTGCGAGTGCTTCTGGTTTACCTTTCAACGTGATACGCGCATTTCCGTTATCATAAACATTGGCAACTCGCTTGAATGACTTAGAACCGGAAGCAATCGAGACATGACGCCTGAGTGTTGCCTGAACGCGACCATATTCGAAGTGGCAGACGTTGGCGATTTCTTGGAGGATCAATGCTCGTTTGGCCTTACCAGTCGAGGTTTTGAACAACTCCAGTAGCCGGCATATGTAGTTCCAGACGGCGGCATCTTCCACAGCATTGTGAACAGTGTCAAGGAATGCGCCGCTGATGAATTTATCGGTATGAGCTGGCAACACGCTGCCTTTCTCGTCGGGAAGCAGTTCTGGCCTGCTGAAGAACGAAAGGTTGAGGACGTATGCCAGTACCGCAGGTTCCGTGCAAACCAAGGCCAGTTGATCGTCAAACGATGCCTGTCGATCTAATGCCATATCCATAAGACTAGAGAACTCGAGCTTTGGAACTGGCGTCTTCAGAGAGAGTTTAGTAAGGGCAGATGTGGCTGCTTCCGTAGATCTCTTCGGTGGTTTCTTCTGGGTTCTGGTAGTTGAGCCCTGATCGAGAATATCCTCGACCATGATATTGAGGCTCTGCAGGAGATATATCTGTCTCCAGAGAACCAGTTCGCCGATCGACTGGGAGATACAGAGTCCGGCGTCGATGGCCGGTTTGAGTCCAGTGAGGGTCGACATCGTGGCCGAACCCGCCGTCACGAACGACCGGCCGTAGAATTGTCCGTCGATGAACATGGTAAAGGCATTTCTGAGATCTTGCATGGGCTGAAGCTTTCCGGTTCGCAGCATCTCGGCAATGTGCTGATAATCTCCGGGGCGGTTGTCCAGTCCGTAAATATACTGGTCTCCGAGGGATTTCGTGGCCCTGTGCTCAAACATACGCAGGAGAAAGTCCGAGTCGGCAGCAGTGATGTCCTGGAGATTCCATTCCGGCATGAATTTGTAGACATTCCCCAGGGCGGTGTCTAGCGGATGCCTTAGGACGACGCCATCGGGTGTTCCAGCTTTCATGGCTCTCGCTCGTTGAGCTGGCCCCATTTCACGCCAGAGCTGATCAACCCTAGCCCCATGAGTACGATACTTGCGAGCGAGATCACGCTGCAGCGCTTCGATCGCTTCAGGGTCTACTCTTCCCGCCATCTTGTCTCGTTATGTCACTCTTGCAGTTGCTGGCGTGACTGAGAAGTGTTTGCTGAAAGTTGTGGGCGTTGCTATCGTGAGGGGAAGACAAGCGATCCTGTTGGGAACTTGGGCTCTACTGGATATGAGTCATGGCAATCACCTCAGGTAGGTATGACAACTTTCAACTTTGGAAGGCGCGGTTGTTAGATATATTTGTTTGTATGTATTTCTCTAGATAATACACTAGATAAACTTCACACTAACCTGATTGATTTTGTGCGAAGACCTCGTGACTTTGTACTACTATGTAGCTGGGTAGTTGCGAAGCAGTACTAGTAGTCTACCTAGATAGGTAGATGAT